TTGCCAAGACCAAAGCTGGCTAATAGCACAGAGACTTCACAGACTTCAGTAACTCTAATTAACCACATGCTTCTGAAGCGTTTCTTCAGGGATGTGTTTGGACCTGCCTGTGGCCGGCACAGTCACCACTGTCAGCCTCACCTTGTGCTGGGTAGACCGAGGCGGTCCTGGGTCTCCTTAAGTCTTCCTGGGCCCACCAGGGTGTAGAGCTAAGGGAGAGTGGTGCCCAGGGCTCCGTCGGTGACCTGCTCCTCTGCCCTGGGCAAGCACAGGGCTCTTTCTCCCGAGTTCTCCCCTTGAAACCCTTTCTGCTTAGGGGAGAGATGAGATCTCTGTATGCTTGATCCAGGAGCTGAAGTGATTCTGCTTTCTTGGGAAGAAGGGGAGTAGAGGGAAGGAGACAGGGCAGTTTCTCTTACTGGTGCCCCAAGTCTCATTACTCTGTTGAGACCACAAGAGTACCCAAGTTCCCCCTGCCTGACCACTACAAAACCAGTGAGTTCCGTTTGCTTATAGCTCGTCACAGGATCTGCTGCAGGTGAGGGAGACCTTAGAAAAGCAGAACAAGGTTCAGCTGTCAAAGCTGGGGGAGTCAAGGGACAGGTAGTGTGTAGGAAGTCTGGGGTCTGCATTTTAAAATTTCTTCTTAGAACTTATATAAGTAAGCTTCTTAAAACAGGCTTCCTCAATGGTCCTGTAAGAGCACCATGTGGTTTCATGAAGAGAAACAAAAGTGAACTAGAAAATACAGCAGAGGAAAGGTGTGTGCCGTCTTGAAAGGGCAGCTGCAGTCTTCAGCAGAACACGGGGTCTCCAGGAATGCAATGAGTAAGAGGAGGGGGGGGAAAACAAACAAAGCTTGTCTGTACTATTTAGAAAAATAGCTTCTTGGTTGTTGTTGTTTTGTTTTTGTTTTTTTTTTTCTCTGTGTGACTAGATTAGCTAAATACACTGTAAAGTTAGGTGAGATTATTTCACTTCTAAATAATATAAAATTATTTAAAAACTGTTTTGAGGTATATCAACTTAGACTAAGAATTAAGAAATAGGAATAAACTTTGGAGACACTTTGAACATTTTGAATGGTTGGGGTAATCGTGGACTACCGGAATTCTGTGGAACCCTGTATGAGACTGGATTGTGCTGGGAGCGAGACCCAAAACAAAATAGGTGTTAGAACACCCTGTTTTAAAATTAAACGAAACACAGATCAGACTACAAATTTTGCTGGGGATGATGTAATGATTGCTGTCCCTCTGAGAAAATAGCCTGATTTGGTTCTAGTTATTAAGCAACAAAGGAATTTGGAAATCTCTCCCTTTCCTTTGCCTGTATATTGTTTAATCTGTTGTTTTTTAAAAAAAAAAAAACACACAAAAAACCCCAAGTAAACCAAAAACAAACCTCAAGACATTCTGTTGTCAAGTTGAGATACACTGAACCTAAGGGATTAATTTGATTTTGTAGAAAGGTAAACTAATTGAAACAGGTCACAACATTTCCTTGCCCCATTTTTTTTCTTTTGTCTCTTTATTAGATGCCTGAACATAAATTTTGAAAAGTGGTTGGTTTTTTTTTTTGGTTTTTTTTTTTTTTTTTCTGAAGCTAGTTAGACCATCTAATAATCCAGGTGGTGGTGGTCTTCTATATCTGGGGTAATACCTGTTCATACCTAAGCTCTGGCTTTAGGTAGGCACTGCTTTATCTAGAGTACAATGTCATTTTGTAATTGATTGCAGTTAATATATTCCTTTTCTCATATCCAACATATAAATGCAAATTATTAAATTACACATTTCTAGAAGAGCTCTTGAGCCTAAACTAATCCAAAGTACCAGATGCATCTTTCTTTCAAATTTTGACTCCTGTATCTTGGGAATATTTGGAAGAGTTAATTGCATAATTGGTTTCTACATTATCCCAAGAGGTCATATCTATTACTTTCAGAATCTTGTTACAAAAATTAATTAAAGCATCTCTAGCACATTTTCATTTGCTGCAACCTGAGTAAGATGAATAAATTTAAAATGCCTAAGCTACAGTTAAGAAAAAGCATCTATTAGCAACTTGTGACAAAAGCCTTTTATTTGGCTATTAAACCACCTGTTTAAAGTTGTGGAAAATGAACAACAAAACTTGAAAAGAAAACCAAATAAAAGAGGTGACATAAATGGGAATATGAGTAAAGGAGAAATGAGGCTACTTCTTTCTAAAGTACACAGCAATTACTTATCAAAAGGTATTCTGCAGCACAAGTCACTTTCTCTACGGCAGAAACATTCTAGGCTGCTTGTTTTTCAGTCATTAAGAAGTGAGGGAGCACTTCCGTGAATCCTTTGCAGCTAATATAAGATTTACAATTGAACCAAAGGAAACTATGAAAGAAGCACAGCAATTTTGGAAGAAAATAGAAAATTTTGTTACAGTGACAGTTATTTTTTAAGGAGAAAGAATGGGAGAAAGTAGAGATAAGGATTAATTTGCTCTTAAAGGAGCTATAAAACAGAATCTGGCCTTCTAGTGGTTATTTAGAAGGGAGTTTAGTAACTCTGAGAAATTGTTGAGAAGCTACCAGCTGGTAGAAAACTAATTCAGTATATTCATCTGATGAATATACTGATGAAAAAAGGGCCATCAGTAATTGGTCAAGCAAAAGGCTTCTTAGGCCTTTTCTCACAATATGTCACATGCAACATTTGTCTTGCATGTCTCTGTCAGGTTTTTGCATTCATTAGCAAATTGATTCCCTACCATATATTTTCTTTTTTTTTTTTTGTATTTACTGAGCAGAATCTGTAAGACTTGCACAGATCAAATAGTGTAAATTTTTTTTTTTATACAACTTAAGTAGGAAGAAGAATCTGCACAAGCAGAGCAAGGCTTGCATACACTTGTTGAAAGCATGTTGCCAGCAGACAGATCCTTTCATAGGTAATTATGGAAACACAATTAAAGACAGATGGAGAAGGAGACCTCTGGTGGAGGAAAAATACTGAAGAACAGGTTTGTTGCACTGGAAAATTATATGAAAAACAAAAACGCAGGAGAAGCTGCCCTAGATAAGGCTCATCTCAGAATACAGCTGTATTGCTCCCATTAGCATTCCTTGCACTACCACTAAGCTCACCCTATTTTGTCACTCTCTTGAAATGAGGCTGTCAAGATTTCTGATCCTGGAACTCCAGAACAAGTTGAGACATGGAATAAAAAACATGCCTAGGAGACAAATTTGGTTTAGATAATGTTACTATAAGACTTCATAACTCTTGAGACCCAAATATGAATTCTCTTAAATTTCTGTGCCAGTATCATATTATTTACAATTCTTTTTTTTCTCAAATGCCAGGTCAGGTAGTTTGTTACATGGACAGCTGGTAATTTGATCAGTGTGTAGAGATTTGTAGCAGAAATAAATGAAAATGTTTGAAGGCACCAGAAGAAATGGCAAAACAAGGATTAAAAGAATGATCTGAAATGATGATACCAACAATAATAAGGAACACTGTTCCTGGTGGTCCACTGATTTCAGAATAAACTTTTATATTAAGACCAAAGAGCTGCTCTCTCATAAGAGCATAGTGCTTGTCAGCAGACCCTGCAGTCTAACATGAGCAGCACAGCAATAAGGTTGCAGAATATGGCATACCCTCTTCCTTGTCCTGTTTGCCTACTAGGAAAATAGACATTCAAACCTACTTTTCAGACAAACAGAAGAAAATACACAATGAACAGCAATCTTGCCTAAAAGGTCTGTTCATAACTTACTGCATTGTTGCTGATTAAGAACTTCAGGGATGTGATAAAGACTTGATAGCTGGCATCCTTTGCACTCGGCAACATACGTTTAGTGATTCTGGGCAGGCACACTTACCTTGGAGCTTCTGTGTGAGTGAATAAAATCTATGAGAATATAAATTTATAAAATAAGAGATTTCTGTAAATAAATAATGTTAAGTAAAAACTTGCACTGAATGTTGTTACATAAATTTTTCTATGAGGAAACCTGGAATGAACAAGCAATGATTCAAAAATTATGCCTGTCATAAGTAAATTTATTAACAAATTTTTAAAAAACATCACCTTTAGAAGCATTAAAGTTATTAGGACTACTGAATTATGGTTTGTTGTGAAATTATTTTTAAGATTAATTCACACATAGTCACTTTCATCCTTATACCTGAATGGTCACTGCATTCAGATCTTCCCAGTTCAGGTACAAATAAAACCAAGTTTGCTGTTTAACAAAGATGGAAGGAGTGTTGTGCAGAATGCCTAATATTTCTAGCTGCATCTCCAGTCTCCGCTACTGCCTCACAAATATGTAGTGTCTATTCCCAGTGTTAGAAAAGAGCTTGCAGAAACATAATTCTGTTGAATGATCATGACAACTGGTGGTTGCAAACAGACTTCTGCTCTGTGACTCCACTTTTAGAATTTATTACAGACTCTATCTGATTAGCAGAGCCGGGGGCTGTAATGTTTTCGAAGGAAATCGGTCTCTAACTTGTAAAAATAACTAAGCTAAATGTTTATGCAAAGATGTCTAAAGAAATGCAAAGGTATATGTAAAAAAACCCTGTTATTTCTGAATGTAACATTTTACAAACAAGCATTACATCTTCTAGGAGCTATTCTCTAACCTTTGCACATATATCTGGCGTATTCTAAGTGTAAAGTAAGTGGGCCTGTCAGTACTCCAAGAATTTTAACTTGGTTTCTGTAGGTGCTGCTGCACCTGTGCACCCAGACTGGCTGCAGCTGGAGCCGGGCATTCCCTCAGCTGGAGCATGTTTGCAAATGAGCTTTCAGCTACCCTCCTTTGAAAACAGCAGCTTTGCCGAACCTGCCACACTTCTCCATGCACCTGGGTACTAAACCTGAGAAAGCTCCTTGAAACAAATGCAAGATGAGGAATACTGAAAGTAAATTGGGGTGGTTTTTGCACCTTTCTCCTGTGTAGAAGAGCTCCCATGACTGCACACCAAACAAGAAGGCACAAGATGGCGGCCAGGCTTGCTGCCCTCACATGGCGCCTGTGCAGGCCTGCCTGCTGTGGAGGGGGTGGAAGTGTCCAAATGGGGATGGAGAGTCATAGGAATGCTGCAAACAAGATGGAAACTGAAGAAGAAAGAGAAGGTGCTCCAGTGAGGAAGGTGAGTGGGAGATGGGGTGACAGCTGGGGGGGCATGAGGAGAAATATAAAACAAAGGGGGAGGGGAGGGGGCTGGGCAGGGCAAGTGGCAGAGGGGAGCTGTGCAGAAAGATGGGTTTGCCCCATGAAAGTCACAGACTGTAGCAAAGTTGAAGGGTGGTGCAGGCTCACAGTCACTGCAAGCTTTCAAGTAATTTTGTCACCAAAGAAAAAATAGCAAGAGGAGTCTCTGAGAAGTGTGTGCTAAAAATGCCTCAGGAAAGAGACCCAGGCTCTCCTTCCCTCTCCTGCCGGGTAGCAGCTCCTAATTCAGTGCCTCATCTGAGAAGAAAAGGACTCAGGACGTGGAAAACAAGGGGCCACAGAAATACGGAAGGAGTGAGAAGGAGATAGATGTGGGGTGGTGGAATTACTGAGGTTTCAGGTAAGGCAGAGTAGGCAGCAACTGCAAAACCAAAGGGTGTTCGCAGATAGCTGTGTGAGGGTGTGGAGAGGAGAGCTGGTGTTACACCTCCAACTGCTTCACACTGCTTGTAAGGCTGGAGGGGGAGAGAGGTGGTAGTAAGTACTCCATTGTGAAAATGAAGAGGTGAGAGAGTTATTTGAACAGGGTTGGATCAACAAAGGATGGGAGTGAGTTGATGGGAGCTAAAAGCCTCTGCTCTTTGTGAGCCGGGAAATTTGAAAACAGAAAGCAAGCAGGAGAAGTGAGTATTTGTGTTAGTTCACATATGGGAGGGAATGATACTTTAAAAATTGCAGGAAGCTTCCATGTGGATGATATTGAAGACTTGCTTATGTAAAGGTTGCATGTGTACGGTGTTACTACTTATAGTACCTTATGCCATTTCCTTAGAATGACTTCTGTAGTACTTTAATATAATTGCAGACCTATAGTGAGATTAAAATACAGCACCGTGGCTTTAGAAGAAAGCATTTGCTACATTAAACTTAAAATGGCAGTCCTTTAGTGCCCTGCATATGAAGTGCTTTTTATCACATTTCCTTCAGTTGTTTTACAGGCAGCCCCACATATAAGTTCTTATTTATTACAGGTTCTTTTACTAGAGCGTGTGAGGAAAAAGTTGCAGGTTTTTTTTAATTTAGTGCCTTAAAAAGTAGAAGTTGGAATTCTTTATTGAATAAAAAAACAGGTCTCATTTAATTGATTTTTTTTTTCTTTTTACATCTTTGTTATTAGTAATACCAAGTTTGTTTTTAAAAAAGACTATTTTCTTCAACTGAATTGTGGCTACCACATACGGCTGTTCAAATACAGCTTTCAGATTTTGAAATCCTGCATTTCTAGATAAGCAGGAGGTGGAAGATTTTCTGAGGAGACTGTTGCAGCAGATTTGCTCTGTTCTATTAATTTCTTTCTGAAGTATTCACAAATGGGCAGTACCAGAAACAGGCAGGTAGGCTGAACTGGCCTTTAACTCAGCAGACCTTACGTAACTTTCTAATTTTATTTGCAAATCTAATATAAATGTTTATATACATTTTGAATTTATATTTGAGTTTTGACTTAGGTCTAACTAGAACTGGCAAGATAAAGACCATTATGGTTTGAATAAATAAAGGTAATGTGTATTTGGTTTACCCAGAAATTATACATGTTTATGTGATACACAGTCTAATTACTATATGTCTAATAAGTTACAGTAAGGTTATGGACACTTAAAACTTTGTAAGACTGTACTGTTAACATGATACATAAGGTAATTTGGTTGTATCGTAATACTCAAGATCCTTCCAACATGAATAGAGTTCAATATAAAGTATATTCAAAACTGCTTTTGATTATTAGTCCCTTCCTATGACCTTCCTAAAGAACCATTGAACCAAGCTGGTAAAATGTCATTTGCAGGCATTTTTCTGTTTAAAAATACACATGAATGATTCTAATTCACCTTGGGACCTGATTGCAGAAAAGTTGATTGATCGGACTTTGGAATAACGTTACTTAGTATGTCAGTGTGGCCTTTTCAATCATTGTTTTTAGCATTTGATGTGTATAAATGAACACTGATAATGCAGTCTTGCAGCTGACTGCTTTCTTAAATATGCTAATTTTTTTTATTACTGACAATTTTTTCTTCATGTCATCTCCTTTAGTATTTAGTTATTAGTATCGTATTAGTATATTAGTATCATGCATCAGTTGCCATGGTCAGTAGTCACAGCCATCAGTACTAGCTCATAGTTATCCAAGTTTATGATAATTTCATATTCTATGAAAGTAATCTAAACTGTAATTCTATTGTCACTTTCACTGAATTTTACTACTTATATCAAGGTTCTCATTTGTTAGAGGCGGTGCTGTGTTTACTAAGTGTACTTACAGCTTATGTGTGGGCAGGTAGATGTGTTTTTTCTTTATTTTACAACCTCCCACCCCACCTTCCCCTCAGCAAAATTGTTTGAATGTTTTTTCTGTACCGCAAAAAATCTGATGAATGCTACTGAGGACATGCTGTATAATTGCTATTTTCCTTGTTTTAAAGAGTCTCAAGGTGGGTGGGTTCTTTTGATATAAAATTATGTATTCCTTCCACACGCTGGTTTATAAAATAAAGGTACTTCTTTCCCATAAAATATTGTAATTTTTTGTGAAGTGAGATACTGTGTATAAGGAATAAACTTTTAGGAACTATCTTTCCTTACGATTTCTGGACAATTGGAAAAGAAAGAGTTTCTGATACTTTACAAATAATGGCTTTTTTTTGTTTTTTTTTTTTTTATAAACCCTTACAAATAATGGCTTGTATGTGTTTTTCTACTGTACATAACCCTTTCTTCAGAAATGTTCTTCTTTAGTGTGTATTGCTGTTTAAAAAAAAAAAGTGAAAAATCTTGCACTTTCTTTTGGTTTCATAACTAATGGGAGATTTTTTTCATTCCGTTAACTTTGTCCTTTATGGCTCTTACTGATTAAAAACTTTTTGCTCTGTATAGCTGTAAAATATGTCTAGGAGAATTCATGTTACCATTGTGTCAGCTTAAGTCTTGTGCTTTATAGAAGTATAACAGGGCATAAGACAGATCTGGATTAAAGAGGTTAGGAACTCAGCCATGTATTTCATTGAAGTCAACCCCAAAAAAACAGACCTACTTGTACACATGGACGTTACAATCTGTAACCTCTCTTACGCATGCAGTTTCTTTTCTTTTCCGTGTAGTTTCAAAGATTGAATTTGTATGTACTTTTTTTGTGAACAGAAAGCAGGTTTATGTCAAAATATAATTCTATTCCTTTAAAGTCTAATAGATCTATTTCATTATTAGCATCTTTTGTGCTAAGCGCTTACAAACTGTGTGGGGGAATCCACATGCTTCAGAAAACTTCGTAATCTGAAATTTTTGATGGTACACAATAGATTAATAAAGATGACAATTGAGAGATGGTTGAAATAATAGTAGAGATCCGTTTACTTTCATGAATTATTCACATCCATCTCAGTAGTTACAGCTTGTCAAATTGTACCCCAGAACGTCAAATTATACACTATGACATGCAAAACTCATGGTTGGCTTTTGGTGAGAGGGTGTTCTGAGAAAGTTGACCCTAAGCAAGCCAACAAAGCTACCAAGGGTTGGAGCTGAAGCAAACTGCCAGGGAATCAAGAGGATATTCATATTGTGCATTCTGAAGCTCATGTCATCATATTAGTGACATTTAAATAATAAGGAAGTGATTGGTGTATAATTTTGGTCATTAGGAACAACCAACCTTGCATGAGGCATAGTGCTGCTCAGTTCTTAATAATTGAAATACTTCAGCATTGTTAAAAGATATTATATTAAGTTGCAATATTTGTAAGTGGAACTTAAAGTATGTTCTCTGAGGCTCCTTGGACAAGCAAAACAGAACTACATTACCGACTATTCTTATACAATGTACAATTCATAAGAAAGCAAGCTAGCCATAAATACAGACATCAATTTAAAAAAAAAGGGAGATGTATTAAATAGGCAGTAGGAGACCCAGAACCATAGGGGGTTAGAACATAGGCCACAAACCAAAATACTACAGGTAAGGGTTAGTGTTGGGAAGTAGGTTATTATCAACTTCCATTGTAAGTTTCTCTGGTTCCTGTTCCTGTCACAGCTGTCCTTTATTCCGTGCATTTTTCTGGAATTGGTATTTGACTAGGCTTAACTTGTGATACAGAAAAAATGACTTTCAATAGAAACAACACGTTTCTGAGACTCTAATTCTATGCTGCTGTGAGATCTGAAGCTGAACTGGCTTTATGTGTAAGTCACACTGGTGGAAAATACAAAATTATCAAAGATGTTCAGTAATTTTTAAAAACGCCTGTAAGTCATTGTCTCTAAGTCGAAGTGTGTATTAGCACACTGTTGATTCCCTTTAGAGGAGGAGTCAATGTTGAAATATTCCATGGAGTTTAGTAATGCAGATTAATTTTTATATAATCACTTTATATAGAATAATTGTTTATGTAGGAAAGCCCTGAGAAAAAGAAGGCAAATCAGAAACCACAGTAAATCCAGTGGAGAGTGCTTGCACAATTTTTGTTCTTTTTTTTTTTTTTTTGCACAGTATTGGGAGGCTTATTTTACCAGTCACAACTGAACAATGCAGCTGAATACAAAGAATTGAATATACACAATCTATTCGTATTTAGCTGTTTGTATTAGAAGAATTATAGTAAATGTATTGACAGCAATTACAATGATCTTGCAGGTAGTTAGCAGCTACATAGCATGGAGACTTGTAGTGAAAATAAAGTTATTTTTGTAGTTGCAGCTCTATAAGTAGCTGATACAGACTTGGTATTTTATGGTGGTAATTCTTTAACTACATGGTAGATGAAAGAGAAACTAACTACATGCTAACTCTTAATTCTGCCATGTTATGTTTTGATAATTTATCATTTGACTTACATCACTACTCTGTGCTTAGGACAGTCAGCCACTCAACATTGCTACTTCAGAACTTTTTTCTCTCTCGGTTCTTTGCCAATGGTTAGTCAT